GTATAATGCGCGCATATGCACAACGGTGCATATCGCGACACAGTCTTCAACATGCACAGATTTAAATAATTTATATCAACAATCATAATTAGAACATTTATTTTGACAATTTCAATAGCAATAACATTCTAAATCATAATCACGGTTCGAACTTGCTCACTCAACTTTAACGTAACCATGTTGCCCTCAGCGCGTCGGAACGGGCGTGACAAAGCAAATAATAATTATATTTATTACGATGTCATTATTTTAGCAATAGTACTAATTATTATTGGTGTAATTGTTGGTCTCGGGCTACCGAACAGCGGCCGCTCCGGCGCCTTGACGAGCGGCGATGTAAGCGGCCTTTCATTGGTCAGAGGCTGCCCAGCAACAACCACTAGGATTGGACGAGACGTCCCCCCCCCCTCCCCCCCGTAGCTGGGCGCGACCATTCATGATTTGAAATGGGTGGGAGGGTGGGGGTTGGAATGTTTTGAGTGTTCATTATAACAATTTAATATTATGGCTCTCGCATAATGTCCGTGATGCAGTCATTAAATCCTTTATATTAAGTTCGCTTGCTTGCTTGCGCGCTTACGACCGTGCAAATCTTTCGGTCGTTTTTTAACCCACTTTCCGTGATCCAATCGAGCTGACATTTTGCACACTGACTCGTTGTGCGTGACAATTTATTTTCGTAAATTTTTTTTCCCAAAATTTTCCACTTTTTAGGAATTTTTTTTTCATATTTAATTAAAAATACCAATGTGATAAAAATAAAACTCTTACTCAAGAAAAACAGAAATGAATAATAAAATAAAACCGATGCCACGCATATAAAGAATTTATAGAAAAAACTTTGTTTCTACGGGTTAATTTTTTTTTAGTCTGTTGATGGTCGGCGATGCGGCAATCGACTCATCTCGACGAGCTGTACACGATGCACCACTATGGTGCGTACGAGCGTTCAGGGTTTCAGCGCTATCGTTCTCGCTGTGTTTTGACATCGCGGAGTGGCACCGATTTCAGATTGATGGGTACCCCAGTCGTGGAGTTAAGTACATCCCTGGAAAAAATAGTGTCCCAGACATAAAATATTTCATTGCCTCGGCCAGTTTGTATTATTTGGTACCCCGGGGTACCGCCATGAGGATCAATTAATATAAAAGACGAAAGGCACAGGATCGGTGGGACCTGGAGCCGTTTTATACAATTAATTCTTGAACTATCACGCGAGACGACGAGTCTGTGTAGAAAATTGCAGCTCGGTAGGCTTCGTAGATCCGAAGATATTAAGCGTCAAAGATTTGAATGGATAGAAAATACGTGGAAAGTCCAATGAAAGTGTGGAATAAAAAAAAGCTTGATTACTGCACCAAACCCAGAACCGGTGTTGAACTCTGCTCCTAGACCAAACCCAGAACCGATGTTGACCTCTGCTGCTACGCCAAACACAGAACCTGTGATGACCTCTGTTACTACAACAAACCCAGAACCGGCGTTGAACTCTAATATACCAAACCCCATACCGATGTTGAACTCTGCTACTACACCAAACCCCAGACCGGTGTTGACCTCTGCTAATACACAAAACCCCGTACCGATGTTGAACTCTGCTACTATACCAAACCCCGTACCGATGTTGACCTCTGCTTCTGGTCCACACCGAGAACCGGTTCAGCTTCCCCCTCCCTGCCCCCACCATTCCAGAATGGCAGTGGGAAGATGTGAGCAGAGCACGAGTGCTTTGTTCACAAGATTGCTGAAAGTCCTGATCTTGTTTTGGACCGGATTTCATTCGTACATTGCTGACTGCTGTGTGTTGGCCACTGTGGTATACCATGCTACGTGTGCGAGTGAGGAAATTGCTGTGGCTACAAGAAGCTGATGCATACATTTGCCAATAAAGTATTTTTTTTTAAGCTCAGCAAAATAACATTTCTCCTTTCTTAGAGAAATTCGTTTACACGAGCAGTAGTGTGGTCTTAAAGGTCAACATTTAACAGAATACAAATGTATCAATGTACTCTGCACCCCCACCATTTTACCAACAGGCTTGGTGAAGTAGGGTCAATAAACCTCCAGTGCCATCACAGTGCGGGCAAGACCCTCAAGCAGTGGACTGATAGGGGTGCACATGCACTCATACAAACATGTACCCCACCAAAGCACGTATGTAGCACGCCGTGGGTCATTTGTGATAAACTCACGACGATATAGAGAATTGTGTACATATTATTGCAAATGGTGAATTTTGCTACACTGATGTCCACTGTGTATAAAGAAAACGTTTAACAGACGTTCTGGTGTGCTCATATTGAAACGTGGTTGTCCCTCAGCCTCCAGATGCCCGGCTGCTCGATTCTCCTGGACCCCACAACCCAGTTTTTAGCCCCAGCAACGCACACCCTTGCCAGGCAGACATCTATGTGAGGCTTGGGGTGGTGGTCAGGAACCACATTTTTAAAAATGTTTGTTTAAACATAGTTGTATGTACATGAATGTTAAGTTAGGTTCTCGCCCTGATCTCTTGAATAGCAGTGCAATCCCTCCGATGTTGGAGAACGGTCTGTAAACTACGTATGAAGTTACACTGCATAAAGTGAACCGTCACCCAAACAATGGGGAGTAGCACTTTCCTTCACACCCTGCTACAGAGTCACCAGTCCATGGGCCAGAGCAGAATTTAGCACCACTGGTGATATCAGATATTTCGCGTATCGTCCTGGGAAATTCTTCAGCAGGTGAAACGAGTTCCAAGACAGAGCTAGGCAGCACAGCCACACGCACGTACGCAGCAGGATCACATGAACACGTCGGGTCCACACTGGTAGTCGGATGTGGGAGGCAGAGCGAGCACATGGCCAGGATGCGGGGTGCGGCACACGAGTGGATTGCGAGACGAGGTGTGTCAGTGTGACGAGGTGGCACTGGTACACGTGGGGACTGTGGTGGGCTGGGCACTCGAGTGGGTTGTGGTGTGGCGGTGTAAGAAGTCGAGGACATTTGCCATTTGCAGGATGGCGATGCTTTCACGTGGGGCCGCAAAGGGACGGCTGTCACAGGCTGCCACTGGAAGGTCCCCCGCGTGGCTAGACGTGAGATGTACTGCATAAGCAATGGTGATTGATGGGTGGTGAGGTCAAGAGATTAGAAGATAGTTTTTTGGAATGTAACAAACAATGAAAACTGCTCTGCTTTGAGTATACACGACATTCGCTATGGCAGATGTTAGGAATGTCACGGAATACAGCACGTTAAGACATTTGTAAGTTGGAAAGGTAATCGACTCTGCATGATTGAGCAGGTCAGTGGTACCGAGAAGACGTCTCGGCGTGTTTTCTTCTGAAAGCTTTACTCGTTTTACTTGTTCTGGGTTCTGAATTTAATCTCATGCCGATTCCTCTTCACGCCAGTGTCTTCATAAGAGTATAAAACACCAACATACACGCTTTATATACCAAATGTACAGTAAACGTTTATTTTCTGAAGCCAATATCGTATGTCCCTCTAACCAACACATAATTGAATCCCAAGTTTGTATAAAACATTCAGACGTAAAACCGTGTTAAAAAAAAGCTCAGTGTCTTCATGCCCAACGATGGCAGAGGTCATCTGAGCTGGCAGAGGTCATCTGAGCTGGCAGAGGTCATCTGAGCTGGCAGCTCTGCAGCGGTGATGGACACTCCACGTTGCTAGCGGGCACTGGAGCCAGCGGCTCGAGAGCACGGCCACATGGAACTCTGCTTCACGGCCAACTCAATCGACGCATCGCGACAAGCGCGCTACAGAGAAGCCGTGAGCTGTGTTGCATCGCCTCGGCTCTTGGCTCACGCCAGGCAGCTCTGAGTACCCCCTCGCCCCCCACTGGGTCCACCTCTCCCAATGGAACTGGACACCCAGCTCAGCTCCAGTTGAACTGGGAACTCAGCTCCAGTGGAACTGGGCACCCAGCTCAGCTCCAGTTGAACTGGGAACTCAGCTCCAGTGGAACTGGGCACCCAGCTCAGCTCCAGTTGAACTGGGAACTCAGCTCCAGTGGAACTGGGCACCCAGCTCAGCTCCAGGGCGACTGAGCCGAGCTCCGTTATTGCGCCGCTCCGCAGGCGTCGAGGGGCGAGGCGGCCCCGTCCTGGGATGCCCCCGGCCCCCAGGCCGCGCGAACCCCATCCCGGCTTCGGGCCCCGTTCCGTGCCCATCCCAACCGCGCCGCGCCGGCACCGTCCCGAGTCCCGCGGGCCACGCTGGGCCCCCCTCGCCCCCCTCGTCTCCGCGACGCCTCCTGGCCTCGCCTCCGACCAAGCCGTGACCGCGGTCCGCTCCCGGGTACCCCCCTCCCGGGTACCCCCCTCCTGCTGCTTCTCCCCGCCGCCTCCGCCTCCTCGTCCCGCTCAGCTCCGCGGTCCGCCCCGGGCCCCGCGCCCCCCGCCCCGGGCCCCAGGGCGACCCGCGCGGCGACGCGGCGCGCCCGCGCCTCGACAAGCAGCAGCAGCCGCCTCCGCGCCCGCACGCACCGCAGGCGCCAGCGCAGCAGCGGGAGGTAGAAGGAGCTGACGAAGTGGCCGAACATCGCCGTGGTCTGCGTCAGGCAGAGCAGCAGCAGCTGCGCGCGGGACAATCGCCGCGCCACCGACTCCGCGTCCAACTCCATTCGGGTCGCGGGCAGCGCCAGGCCCCGGAGCGTGAATTGAGTCGTCGAGGGACCCCGGAGCGTGAATTGAGTCGTCGAGGGGCCCCGGAGCGTGAATTGAGTCGTCGAGGGGCCCCGGAGCGTGAATTGAGTCGTCGAGGGACCCCGGAGCGTGAATTGAGTCGTCGAGGGGCCCCGGAGCGTGAATTGAGTCGTCGAGGGGCCCCGGAGCGTGAATTGAGTCGCCGAGGGGCCCCGGAGCGTGAATTGAGTCGTCGAGGGGCCCCGGAGCGTGAATTGAGTCGTCGAGGGGCCCCGGAGCGTGAATTGAGTCGTCGAGGGGCCCCGGAGCGTGAATTGAGTCGTCGAGGGGCCCCTGAGCGTGAATTTAGTCGTCGAGGGGCCCCGGAGCGTGAATTGAGTCGTCGAGGGGCCCCGGAGCGTGAATTGAGTCGTCGAGGGGCCCCGGAGCGTGAATTGAGTCGTCGAGGGGCCCCGGAGCGTGAACTGAGTCGTCGAGGGGCCCCGGAGCGTGAATTGAGTCGTCGAGAGGCCCCGGAGCGTGAATTGAGTCGTCGAGGGGCCCCGGAGCGTGAACTGAGTCGTCGAGGGGCCCCGGAGCGTGAATTGAGTCGTCGAGGGGCCCCGGAGCGTGAATTGAGTCGTCGAGGGGCCCCGGAGCGTGAATTGAGTCGTCGAGGGGCCCCGGAGCGTGAACTGAGTCGTCGAGGGGCCCCAGAGCGTGAATTGAGTCGTCGAGGGGCCCCAGAGCGTGAATTGAGTCGTCGAGGGGCCCCGGAGCGTGAATTGAGTGGTCGAGGGGCCCCGGAGCGTGAATTGAGTCGGCGAGGGGCCCCGGAGCGTGAATTGAGTCGTCGAGGGGCCCCGGAGCGTGAATTGAGTCGTCGAGGGGCCCCGGAGCGTGAATTGAGTCGTCGAGGGGCCCCGGAGCGTGAATTGAGTCGCCGAGGGGCCCCAGAGCGTGAATTGAGTCGTCGAGTGGCCCCGGAGCGTGAATTGAGTCGTCGAGGGGCCCCAGAGCGTGAATTGAGTCGTCGAGGGGCCCCGGAGCGTGAACTGAGTCGTCGAGGAGACCCGGAGCGTGAATTGAGTCGTCGAGGGGCCCCGGAGCGTGAATTGAGTCGTCGAGGGGCCCCAGAGCGTGAATTGAGTCGTCGAGGGGCCCCAGAGCGTGAATTGAGTCGTCGAGGGGCCCCGGAGCGTGAATTGAGTCGTCGAGGGGCCCCGGAGCGTGAATTGAGTCGTCGAGGGGCCCCGGAGCGTGAATTGAGTCGTCGAGGGGCCCCGGAGCGTGAATTGAGTCGTCGAGGGGCCCCGGAGCGTGAATTGAGTCGTCGAGGGGCCCCGGAGCGTGAATTGAGTCGTCGAGGGGCCCCGGAGCGTGAATTGAGTCGCCGAGGGGCCCCAGAGCGTGAATTGAGTCGTCGAGTGGCCCCGGAGCGTGAATTGAGTCGTCGAGGGGCCCCAGAGCGTGAATTGAGTCGTCGAGGGGCCCCGGAGCGTGAACTGAGTCGTCGAGGAGACCCGGAGCGTGAATTGAGTCGTCGAGGGGCCCCGGAGCGTGAATTGAGTCGTCGAGGGGCCCCAGAGCGTGAATTGAGTCGTCGAGGGGCCCCAGAGCGTGAATTGAGTCGTCGAGGGGCCCCGGAGCGTGAATTGAGTCGTCGAGGGGCCCCGGAGCGTGAATTGAGTCGTCGAGGGGCCCCGGAGCGTGAATTGAGTCGTCGAGGGGCCCCGGAGCGTGAATTGAGTCGTCGAGGGGCCCCGGAGCGTGAATTGAGTCGTCGAGGGGCCCCGGAGCGTGAATTGAGTCGTCGAGGGGCCCCGGAGCGTGAATTGAGTCGTCGGGGGGCCCCGGAGCGTGAATTGAGTCGTCGAGGGGCCCCGGAGCGTGAATTGAGTCGTCGAGGGGCCCCGGAGCGTGAATTGAGTCGTCGAGGGGCCCCGGAGCGTGAATTGAGTCGTCGGGGGGCCCCGGAGCGTGAATTGAGTCGTCGGGGGGCCCCGGAGCGTGAATTGAGTCGTCGGGGGGCCCCGGAGCGTGAATTGAGTCGTCGGGGGGCCCCGGAGCGTGAATTGAGTCGTCGGGGGGCCCCGGAGCGTGAATTGAGCTTGTTCATTGGGGCAGCGTGGCCAGGTGGTTGCTGTGTGCGCATGGAGCCGCAATCAGAATTAGAAATCGATTCGCTGTTGGTCTCGTTGAGGCTACGTGCCATGTATTTGCACTGCTTCCACATCACCGTTGATTGTACTGCCGGAGCTGTGGTGCTGGTGGTGAACGTGAAAAGTTGCGTTCGAGACACGGTTAAGCCCACATTCGTTTTTAGTGGAATCAACGTCCAACTGGTGTCGAACAGCCCCAGGGGATACACAGCGCCATATACAGCGTGCTTCACAAACACGTGAACACTTTTGAGAATACTCTTTGGTTCTTTCGGTAAAGAACCAAAGAGTATGGATCCCTGCAGTCACGAAAACTTCGAATCTACTTTTGAGAGTTTTCAATAATACCGCAAGAAATGTGCCTCCGCGCACTGGAGACCACCTGGAGAAGATTGTGTTGACAATGATGGTGAACAAGTGGAGACCCTTTGAAGTTATTAACATACATTTATTAGTGTATTATCCGTTGTTTTTCCATTATAAACGATAGTCCCATAATAAGTGTTAACATTTTTTTAAAGCACCCAACATTAGGGCAGTCGGCAGTTTCACGCCTCGTTGTTGAGCGACAACTTTGCTCGCTCCGTCGGCCCCACCGTGTCCTCTTTAGGCCCCGCACCTTCCGGCGTTGACACGGCGGAGTTGACACGGAGGGTCGTGGAGGGGTTGTGAAGGGGGCCCCAGGAAACGTGGGTAGCCCCAGGAAACGTGGCTAGCCCCAGGAAACGTGGGTGGCCCCAGGAAACGTGGGTAGCCCCAGGAAACGTGGGTAGCCCCAGTGAACGTGGGTGGCCCCAGGAAACGTGGGTGGCCCCAGGAAACGTGGGTAGCCCCAGGAAACGTGGGTAGCGGTATTCGTGGCGGGTCGTGTCAGTAGGTGAGGCGGCTTCACAACTTGCCGAGAACCCTCTTCGAGCAGCAATATAGGATTTCAACTGACATGGAGAGCATGTTACTAGAGTGAATTATGTCATATATAAGAAAATGCTATCCCCTATAGAAGTGTTATTTAAGCATTAGGTTGCATTTTTTTCGAGTTTTGGTTTCGAAATTTCATATTCGCTTTCCCATACCAATTCCACTTTTAGGTAGTTTTTTTTTTACCTTGACCAAAAATATGTTCACATGATCTTCAAGTTATAAATGTTTTAGTTGTATTATTGTTGTTCTTGTTTATCCAGGGAAGCCTCACTGAGTCTCACAATGGTCCTGCCAAGTTTTCGCAACAAGGGACAATGATTGCAATGTTTCTTCCACTTCATGTTTTACATTTGGCTAATCTGAACCATGAGGCCGGCACACTAATTATCTGATAATTACTCTTGATAACTCGTGACTCGTTACACTACCTGTTTAACAATGTGCTGTGCACTGTTTCCAGACGTGTATTTCATTTCGAAGCCTTGAAAACCCAAAACCGTTGAACACTCGTAGAATTATTCAATTATCAAATGTTCAGATCTAATAGAATGGAATGTTGCGCGCTATGATCATATAACCACACAACATACCGTCCAATTTCATAATAATACAACACTTATAATACTGTAGTTTTCATCTCAGCATTTCATGGGGCTTTTAGGTTGATGTACACAGACTAATACTGTTGTCTGATCCACACTAAATTCCAAATGTATGTCAACTACATATGTGTTGCGCCATACCAAGGCGCTGTAGGTTGCTTTACCTGCCACCACGCTCACGGGCCGACAGGGGGCAGCCGAGAGACAGAACGAGGTGTGTCGGGGTTGACCCAAGGTCAACCCCCCCCCCCCCCCCGGGTGGCCCGTGACCGGAGGTTGACCGGAGGTTGACACCCCAGGCCCCCAAAGACTGGGGGCTGGGGGGGATAGGGGCCACCGGCTGATTTTAAGGCCCTTTAAGATTTAAGACCCTTTAAGACCTTTTCAGAACCTCCCAGACATTTCTGGAAGGTTCTGGAGAAGGGGTGATGAGGCAAGGGGTAAACCCCTGACCTGGGGATAAAAGCCGGCCCTCTGAACGGGTCCGGCAGTGTTCGCCTACTCAAGCCTGAAGCCGTCCGAAGATCTGAAGACTGGAGCAGCACCCTGGGACCCTCCCCGAGGCTCTTGTCAGAGCCGGGTTGTAGCGGACCGGTGGTGGGACCCTGGGTCGGGTCGGTCTCGCCTCCCTTAGCGGCCGTGGCCAGAGACCTAGGTGTAGAGTAGCCCGGGGTAGTGTGTAGGACACACGAGAAGGGATACTGTACCTCCCTTAGGCTATCGGGTTGAAGGGGCCGTACCCCTTCGTATTACAGTCGCTGTCCGTTGAGTCTGTTGTAATAACCGCGTTGCCTCCATATATACGTCTCCGTGTAGTTAGTTAGACACAACCTATGCCTGCGGGGATATTGGGTTAGACCAATGCAGTTCAGCAGAGGCAAGGTTTAGCCGAGCGAGCGAGCAAGGCATGGGGCCACGATTGTTATAGCACACACGGGAGACTTGTTGATGATACATTCAGTCACCGATTAAAGGCGATCCTCGCGTTCATGGTGGATGAATTAAAGCGTGCATTTAAGAATCGATCATTTATGAAATACACAAACCATATGCAAATGGTTTGTGTATTTTAGCAAACAAAAGTACAAAAATGCAGAGCAAGAAACAATGCAAACGAGATGGTACAAAGGATGCAAAAATCAAATTTTCTTAATTTGAATCATGATCTCGGATCGTAACAACTTGATTTCTGTGGGGGATATATTGTTACAGGTATTGTTACAGGTATTGCTTCGAGCACTGTTGTCATATTAATACAGTAATGTATTCGAGGTGCTTTTACCTGTGGGATTGTGGTATTACAGAGCACACAATAAATTATCACAATATTTGACAGTCATAGCGCTCGCTAAACTGCAACTAAGTGCGATGCTCGATCATGTCACTCGGGGTTACATCGCAATTCCTTACAGACTGCATAAGTAGGACAACCTATTTTTAATTTAGGGTGTCAAGTGCCTCGGGTTACTCTTTATTCTGTACCTATAAAACAGCATGAGACACAATTCAAGAAAATGGACCTGCTGTGCAACATTAACTTGAATATTTAAATTGGAAAATTCTACATAAAACAATTGCAAAGAGTGGTCTATTACAGTATATCATGAAATATTTAAACGTTTATTCGTAATGTCATTTTTGTAATGTGTATATTGTTACGTATTCATATAAGGTACTATACAGTACAGTAATACTGAAATTGTAAGTGTTCATAACTAGGACTACGCAATGAAACCATTAAAAACGTCTTTGTAGTCACTGAAATTGGAATGTTCAGTAACGTATCCATATTTACGCATCTGAGTATAAAACACGTGAGAAAATGTGTAAACCTTTAGTAACAAGTGGAATCTTCACTGATTAATATACGTCGTTCAAGTAATGCAAGTTTAACAGGTTCTAAATATCAAGTTATAACGACTATGTTCGATATGAGGCGCTTAATACGTAGTCTTCATCGCAATACTATTGCAATTGCCAGATTTTAAGACACTCTGGAAATATACTCTGCTTTAAAATACAGGATGGGGGGGGGGGTGCATCTTTTAATCTTGAGGATACAAAATATAAACAGTGGGACATGCAATAACATAAGTGTTGAAAATATTCCATAAAAAGGTGATAACACAGGCAAAATACCGTGAAGCGAATTAAATATAATCAAGGAATGGGGGTAGCAAGAGTACTGTGCTCGACTTGTGTTCGAAAAGGGGCCAGCCAGCAACACCAGGGTACTGCATCTTCAGCTGCACATGGGGATAAATGTGTGAACACGTGGAGAGAAATGCTGTGCTCTGGAGCAGCAGCAGCAGGGAACCCAGTGGACTGCCGGGTGCTGTGCCCCTGTAATGGATGCCAACCTCAGCTGAGTCGATCACAAGAAACTGGTTTCCCACTCGGGCTGTACATCTTCCGTTTTGAGTTGAAGGTAGAACAAGCCACCTTCCCTGCATGTGCCATCCACACCAACGCACAGAACACACCGCACACGTATCACTTTGCTCATTACGATGTCTATTTTGTGCGTATTCTTTGGGTCTTTCGGTAAAGTCACGTAGATAGAACAATAAAATAAAAATTAATTAAAAGAAAGTGAATAAAAAATAATAAAAAATATCACGACGTTTCGATCGCAACACAAGCAATCGTCACCACGAAGTGGGTGGGGCTAGTGGTGTTAAAGTGAGAGAGATTAGCATGTCAATGTAAGAGATTAGCATGTCAATGTAAACGGCGGCTGTGTTAGTGTTAACCTGTTAATATAAAATCAGAGAGTCGAAAATAACTAATAACATCAAAGGTAGGATGGAAACATCACAGTCAGTTAAGACTTTACCTGGTTAATAACAAGTCTTAACTGACTGTGATGTTTCCATCCTGCCTGCCTATGTCAGCTGTTATTTCCGACTCTGTGTGTCCTTCTCCCTCTCTCTGTGCATCTCTCTCCGATCTCTACTCCAGTGACCCGGGTGCTGCTGCGGGGTCCACTTTCTGCCCCGCCTCCTTCCCCCCCCCCCTCTTCTCCCTCCCCCCCCCCCCCCTACTGCCGAGGCTTATATAACCTCGTGCCACGGCAGATCTCTCGCCTACTTCAGAAGTTTTTTCTTGCTGTGGTTGTCCCACCTGATGACGATTGCTTGTGTTGCGATCAAAATGTCGTGATCTATTATTTTTCTACCTACGCGAGTTTACCGAAATACCCAAAGGGTAAAGATTTAGTTTATTTAAGACACAGTACTGTAATCATCACAATTGACAACCCTTCCATTTCTGCTGGATTTAAAGCCTATGCACACTGAGTTTTTGGGGTTGAATGACCATTCTTCACCACGTTGGTCAATGCAGGTTAATAAAGGGGTGAGGAGGGTGGGTTCGGACCAGTTAAGATATAATTTGCCCCAAATATTAGCCGTGACCCAGAAATTATAGTCGCCGGGTTAATCGCTTAGTGTGCTAACCACGGTGTCATCACTCCCCCCACGTTAATTTATCGTAACATATATGTCTGCATTTCAAATTCAAGTGTATGAGGTGCGGTCTCACATACCTGTCTGACTCAGTTTTGTCCTCTGGATCTGCCGTGCTGCTCACATCCACGTGCACATTTGTGTGCACACTGTTGTGTATCTTGTTGCGTCTATCACAAAACTGCTCGCTCGTTTGATCGTATGCCTATTCGGACAACAAGCGACAGGGCAAGGAACCAGAGCAGTGGTAAAGGGCAGAGGGACAGCAGACAGGAAAAAACAGATAGAAACAGATTCCAGAGCTACTCCTTCATTGTAAGATATCATCCGTGTTCTGCCCACTGTTAGATGAAGGCCTCCCCACATCGCCATCTTGCAGTCTCACCATCCATCCTGCTCCTGCACCTGAACTGATATCATGGCTCCATCTCAACAGAGATTATTTGCCCGACCGATTTACTCCTTTTCCTGCCATTCCATCGCCGGTCTCATCCATCGCCCAGCAACCATTTTTGCAGTTAACATGATTTCTCTACTTACTTTTTTTCTCAGCTCCATGTTTTCCCCTTTCTGTATCTTGGTATAATTGACAGCATGCATTAGTCCAGGACAATGGACTTTCAAGCATTATTTCCATTTGCTTTGGCAGATTTGATGTTTTTGATTCATGTTACAGTTAGCAGAAGACACTGAAAACGTTTATAGGCACATCAGTATACTTTTTTTCATGATCGAGATCAGCTTTTTTATTAAACGCTTCATCCAGCTCTTCATCATTAAAAAAAAATCATATTGATCAAAGTCCACTTTACACGGCTGCGCTTATTATACACATACTGCTGTGTTTTCAAGATATACCCCTTCAAATGTAAATTTTTTTTAGAAAATTTGCTCATGTTTACGAATCCAACTTTTCGGCCTTGTTTGCACAGTTAACTTATTTCATGAATTTAATTTAGCCTTGGGTTTGGTGTTTCTAAATTGTAGAAACACCGCTATCGTAGTCACGCGTTTCTACAACAAATATAAACATGTGGTACCTGTAAGTATGTCGGTGGTAGAAGCTTTCCCACTGTTTTCACGAGCTGGGAGAATGTGGGTCTTTGGGATGCCCTGAGTGCCCAGCAAGCCTTCATTATTTCAAACCTGACTCAATCACATGCACAGTCACAGCCAGATTAGGGAACTTCAGCAATGGTCCACAGGCACAAGTCACAAAAACTCAACAAAGTGTCTGTAGCACTGCCCTAAAGAGGAAAATAATGGTCAGTGCCGAAAACGTTGCACATTATCTACGTGTATTACCTGTGTAGGGTAGTATTGGCGAAAGTGTTGAGTTTTTATTGTGACCCTATTCCACCACTGTCAAATCATGTTTCCACGAGCACACTGCCATACTATTTGAAATTCTTACGATATCGGAAGTGCTGAGTGGAGAGCCATTGGCATGAAAAGGGAATGCTCTAGGCCAGGCAAGGGTTTGAGTGGAGTGCTCAGGTTGGGGTGCTTTGCGGTAGACACAATGTCGAAATGGGGAAGGCGGCACGCCCTTCCTTGGTCCTGACCCTGAATGAATAAAAAGCCCACGTCTAATTCACCCTTTACTTGAAGTTCTGTGGGAAAATATTATTTACATTGTGTGGGTATACATGGAGTGTAAAATCGCACTTTGTTCAGATTTACGTTGGTTTGTTGTCATCATTGTTGTGATATAATCCACATTCAGATGGCTGCAATAACCTCATGCAATGCATCATGATCAGTATTGAGGTTCACACATTTCATAAAGTAAGATTATATTCTTTGGGTCTTTTGGTAAAGCCACGTAGATAGATCAAATAAAAAATAATAAAAATAAAAATATAAATAATAAAAAGAATAACAATATCACGACGTTTCAATCGTAACACAATCAATCGTCATCAGGTGAGAAATATCGCGGGAGAGCTGCTGAGAATCAATGCAAGATTACTTGTGTTATTATTAGCAGCAGTATTCGCATGTTACCGTCACATGGACATCTCTTTTAAAACTGCCAACCATGCCAGCATGGCTCTGTAAACCAATTTTATTTCCCAGAGTAGAATTAGTCAAGCGAAGGCAAACAAAAATGACCGATTTCTGTAGTCGGTCGCGATGGGACGTTTAAAACAGATGACATCCACTGCAAGGGGTAACGTATAAAGTTTTCCGTAATAATTTTTGTCTATTAATTTAATATAAACTATATTAATTATAAAGTAGGAAATTCCAGGGTCCCCACACGTATGTTGTCATGAGATTTTTTTCTGTACTCTCATCCTAATTCGCTACCTACACAGTAACCACAATGCGTCGCACTACGAGTACTCACAGGTCTTCCGTCGCATGTTCTGGTTTGTCCATATGAAGTCCAGCTTTCAGCTGCCCATAAAAGTGTGCATCAATTGCCATTCCAGGGTAAGGACTGCCTCCTAGAAATAATTTATCATCACCGTCATCATCATCACCATCATCATCGTCATCATCATCATCATCGTCATCC